GACTTCGGAAAAGAAGAAAAACGAGAATGTGATTATTCCCTCCTGGCGACTATCGGTTTTAAGCTCATTCATTGCAACATACAGCATTGCACGCACACGTGTCTATGTTGATTTGACCTAACAAACGCAAAACTGGGCAGTGATTAAAGGGCATCCGACGGCAATTACACAGAAAGGCAACAGGTGGACTGCGTCGGTCGAGTTGGATTTTTTCGAAGGCACAGACGGTACGATGTTAGGGGCACCGACGGGCATATGCCGTCGACGGAATGCCGGTCCGGTTAATTCAAGAGCCCCGTGCCGTCAGAATGAGGCTGTACATGTACTTCAAAAAGTGGGGTCCGCAAATACCATCTGCCTGCGATCTACATTTTCAAAATTTTCTGGGGGAGGACCCCCATACCCCAGTTGTTTTTCACCCCCCTCTTGAATCCTAGATCTGCACTGACGATGTACATATCTTGGGGAGAGAACAGAAACAAAAATCTCGCTCTTTTCACATGCACCCAAAACAAGATTACAGAGAAGGTAGAGGTGTGGGAGGGAGGGGGGAGCCCATTAAAGATATTACAAGTCATCACTATCATTGCGTCAGGTTCGCTGTTTTTTGGCCCGCTTGTGTAAAAATCTAGCTACACCATGTTTATTCGGGTTTTCTGACCATAGTCTCATTATGTGATTGAAATAGGAGATTTGGGGATATTTTTGGGAAACCAGAAATTGGTGCGGACAACCTGACTTTGATTGCTGGCGTTAGTCCGCGGAAACCACATTCTTTTCTTATTTCGAGCACTGCGCGTCTGCTACCAAATTAATCCTATGGTGTATAGCCTTTTGCTTTCAATATGATCTTTTTACATTGTGCATCTGAAACTGACAATCAATCCAACCAACTTGTAAATGGTATAGGCCTAGCTGGCACAATAATGTTCAGGTTCACTTCAAATCCGAGTTTTTCTAGCTCGTCAACGAAATCTTATCGTGAATAAACTGTGATATATAAAAATATGGGACCAGCTGCTGATTTCGAAACACTGGTAATATGTCAGCCGTTTCTGATTTTATGAGAGGTGAACTCGATTTGGAACCAGCAAACAGCAAGTTTCCAAACATTTTCTGGGGGGAGGCCCCATACCCGCCTGTTCTTCACCCCCTCGCGTGAATTCCTGAACCGCACTGGAACAATATACATATCTTTGGTGAGCAGGAGAAACAATGAACAAAATGTCGCTAAAGTTTCGCCATGGCGCCCAAAAACAGAAGATTCGCAGAGCTGGAGGTAGAGGGAGCCGTAGGTTGGAGAGGAGGCAGAGAAGCCACGTAAAATATTAAGTCGTCCACTATTTTGCGCAGTTCGCTGTTTTTGGCCCCCCTTGTTAAAAAGATGGAAACGCCACGAATGGCTACGCCACTGTTTTTTGGTGTTTTCTGATCATATTATATTATCAGGAGTGTATCAATATTGATACACTCCTGATGATCTATGTGCATTAAAATGGAAGAATTTGGGGATATTTTTTGGGGACAACCAGAAATGTGTTGCGGACAACCCGATTTGATGGCCCAGGGTTGCTCCGCCAGGACAAACCAACATTTTTTTTCTTATTTCGAAGCACTTGACGCTGACCTTTGACAGAACTGAAAATATAAAAAGTTACAGCCGCCTGTTATGCAAACCCTCTGAGACAAGTCATCGCGGGGTTTTTTAGCGAGTCTCTAAACATGGCTGCCGCCATGAAGAAGTGTTTTCAGAGAGTTAGAATGTAATTTTCGGACAAAATAAGTGGAGAATATGAGCGGAGAAATCGTTTTTCAGCTGAGGAAGCATAAGTGTTGTTGTCAGATTACTTCCAAGTGAAAGTGGAAAGTGACACGAATATGTTTAGTGAGGGGTGATTAGACTCAGATTCTCATAGTGAAATCCTTATTATGAATTCGCCAACCCCAATTCAGAATCAGTAGTGACGATGATGATGATGAACCTGTGGCATCCACATCATCAGCTATGGCAATTCATAAACTTCCTTATATCCGAGATTACTTTAGTGATGACTGGATTTTGGGTGTACCGGCAAGACTATAGCCTGTAAAGAGGTATATAAAGTGTTTATTTTCTATTGAACATTGTTTTCTGATGTATTTGCATTGTTCTTCTGATGTATTTTGCATTGTTTTTCAGGGGAATAATTTCCCGGTATCGCATCGCAATTCGCGATGTATTTTCAGCCATTTGCTACGCATATTTTTTTATGATCGCAGTTTGTCGCGATGCAGCCCCATGCGAGATGTAAACGGAAACATACATGTTTACAATTTTACTTTATATTCTCGGGCTGCTTGCCGCGTCAATGAAATGCCACGTTACGCGATTTATTTTTGATTTGTTAACACCACGGCCAACTTGACTTTTAAACAATCTGCACTCCCCCCCCCCCCCGCCGGTACATCATCAAATATGCCGCCCAGGCACGTATACACAGCCACGCTGTGCTGGCGCTGCACGCTCTCGCGGGCGCTTTCTTCGGCGACCTTTGATATAAAGTCGAGGACTGTCGTGAGTCGAAGGAGTCAGAATCAGCCGCCCTTCACAATCGTCATAGAAACTGTATTTCATCAATGTTTGGATATATAACGTAAGGAACCAACATTTTGATTAAAAGTTCTCTAGACAATTATTTTTACTCGCCAACATGGGCGAGTCAGTTTTAGCTTTCACTCGCCCGGCCCGATATTATTTTCACTCGACATTGGCGAGCGGACGAGTGCCAAGCCTCGCACGCTGTTTTAAACGCTGCTCGGTGGCAGGCCGTGCAGAAGTCGCTAGTGTGTCCTAGGCTTAAGCTAGCTGTGCCTGTCACAGGCAGACACGATAACACGCCAAGCATGCACTGCGGTGTAAATTTGCACTGTGATTGTCTGAAAAAAAATGCTATACAAATTTATCCAATTGCTATGCAAAATTTATTTTGTATAGCACATTTGCTTTGCAAATTTTTGGCTGGAAATTGTTCCCTGTTTTTGTGTGATAGAAATGCATTACATGGGATTTTGAAAACATTACATAACTATTTATGCAAATTTCACAAAATCCAAGATGGCCCCCGTATGCATATTGGATTTTTTGGTAGCCAAAATATGTTGGTTGCATAGAATATGCAGATAGCTTCAAGAAAATGTATAGTTTTGCTTGTCTAAACCCATTAATGAAAGACGTAGTTAAAAATCTATTGGTAATAATTTTCGTGGAAATTTTGCAAATAGTTCTGGGACTCAAAGGGTTAACCAAAATGCTTCCATCCCGTTTGCTCCGAAATCATAAAATGCATTCTAGCTCAATACTTTTTGCATCATAGAATATACTGCTATGAAAGACTCATATGTATCATATGTTTGAATTGCAAAATTGAACACCAAAATGGTCTCCCTAACCATCATATAGAAGTTCCTACTTGTGAGAAGGATCAAGGACTTATTTGTTTGGAACATATCTGTCTGGTTTGGATCACTTGTTCCTGATCTGCCCAATCATATTGCAAACATGCCTCCAACAGGTCACCTGTCATAGTGCCCTATCACAGGATGGTTTTAATATAACTAGCATTGAGCAGTGTCAGTGATTTGCTGAGTCGCATTCCCCCACACTGGGTCCTCTTGGAATCCTCCAGCTAGAAGGATGATTCCAACAAGGCAACCATTTATGATCTGGATGAGTGATCTCCCCAGCCAAATGTACAGGATCAGTGAATCTGTGTGGTCCTGATCATAGGTTCTGTCAACGCAAACGCATATCAAGTAGTTCAGCGTTTCCTTATAAAAAACAATGCACGTATGGGAAATGGTGGCACCATGTCATCTTATTATGCCTGAACTCCTTTTATGGTTTGAATTTCGATTTCACACTATACTATGTGATTTTATACCACTCCATCCGTATATGTGGCTAAAAAGTGAGTCAATGTTGTGCTGAAGCAGAAAGTGGTAATGGATTAGTGCTAACTTTACCATTGCTCAGCATTATTATATTGACATAATATTTTTTATGTTTAGGCGGAGGCGGAGGCGGAGGCGGAGGCGGAGGCGGAGGCTTCAGAGAGAGCGGATATGATGGCGGAGCAGCAAAGAGGGACGACTGGGCGAGGAGTAGCGACGGTGGCACGATCACCATGATGGTCAACAATAGAGATCTGGGACGTATCATCGGAAAAGGTGGATGCAAAATCAGAGAGCTGCAAGATAACTCAAGCGCCAGAATAAAGATTCGCAAGGATGATTCAGATGGTAGAGAAACACCAGTGGACCTTATTGGGAGCCCTGATTCTACAAGTATGGTAAAAAGCATGATTGACGAGCTTTTGCAGTCAAATACGAGAGGTTTTGGAGATGGTTCATGGAATGGTGACTGGCAGAAAGACCCCATTACAATAATGGTTAACAATAGAGATCTGGGGCGTATTATTGGTAAAGGTGGGGCTAAAATCAGAGAACTGCAGGATGACTCGGGAACCAGAATTAAAATTCGCAAGGATGATTCGGATGGTACCGAAACACCTGTTGATTTAATAGGAAGCGTTGAGGCGACATGTGCAGTAAAATCCATGATTGAAACGATCCTAGTTGCTGGCCAGACGTACTAACCAGGTTACACAAAGAGTACACTCACTGTTAGCACTAGCTGGTCCGAAGAATGGTTAAGGTAGATGTTGGGGGGGGGCAGTGTTAGTTTAAGAGTTGGTGTAATTGTTAAGGTACAGCCAGGTCACAGTGGCAAGAAAAATCGGACCATTCCATAGATAAGATTAAAGATATTGGTAAGACCTGAATACATGCCTTCTCTTGTAAAAGTTTGTTGGCAAAGATGAGCAGAAAGGCTAGAAATGTGCATGATTCATCATCATGTTTATGTACATTGTGAATGTAAGTTTTCTTGAGCTCGGTTTCATCAAGAGTATGGGTATATTCTGAGGTATGATGTGTTTCCAGATTTAATACCAAAGTGCGATAAAGTTTATGACTACATTTTGTATCTATGCCAAGCAATGCTTTTCAAAATCACAGTAGTTGTATTTTCTAGAATACAATTATTATTTGGCAATGCAAGACTATGACAAAACATGGGTGCTCTTTTAGCAAACACATGCTGTAGCTAGTATTCTCCAGTCTGGTGTTGTGGAATGATAAATTAATGATGTCCATGTATAAGCTATCGTAACTGGTTGATCTTATGATTATGTAACACAGTGGATCTACTTGTTCATGTACATGCAGTAAGTATTGCTGCGATACAGTATGGTCACGGTATACAATTAGCTCAATATCAAGGTTTGCATGTAATTGCAAGAGATAATTAATTCGACAAAATGACCTATTATTACAAAGGTGATCCTGAATGTAAAGAGTTTATTTCATGGAATTGCAATAAAAATCGCAAAATTTTTAAAAAAAACATTGGTTTATTATTGTGTCGTAGTTTGTTGAGCAGTGAATATGTCGATACACATGCATTGAGCACAACTTAAATTCAACGGTTACCAGTTATAAACAAGATTAATTAGTAATCTATCTTTAGGTGTGTGTATATGTGAGTGCAACGTTAACCTGTAAAAATTTCTCGAAGTAAAGTGCTACTTATAGTTACAATCAACCCAGAACTATTGTAGCGTATATTGTATATATCTGTACCACGAGTGCGTGTGTTCATGCTCATTGTTATACTTAGTACAGCTTCAAGCTTCGTTTGCCGCATCCTACCTATTCTATAGACTAGTGACAATATCAAATTTGAGTGGGGATATATTATTTTACGTTTATTTTTCTTCATTTACTATTGTAATTCCTGATGTCCCTAATGTCATTGCGTTTGTACATAGCTATGTTAGATGGAATACAGCAGTGAAAGACCGAATTGACATAAAAACTAATTGGAACGTAAGAATAAGAAAACGCTCTAAATGCTCTACATACTCTATACGCTATACACTATAGTTAGTAATACTTGGTATTCTTGTTTATTGGAATATTTTCCACAAACGCCACTAAAATTCTACACGAGCAGAAGAAACAGGTTGAAACAGAGCACGTATATCATATATATATATATATATATATGCTCATACCGACATACGTATGTCATAGTATCAGGAGTGAATAATAATAGATATATTATTAATTATCTATTATTATTCACTCCTGATCATCTGGTAACGTTAATGATTAGCGCTCCTGATCGTAACGGCCGCTAGAGGGCCTACTCACCAGGGCCAGTTAGTGTAGCCGTAGTAGCAGGAGTAAGATAATATAGGTATATCCTATATTATCTTACTCCTGGTAGTAGTAGTAGCTCTAGTACTGCGGCATTTAATGAACGCGGGCTATAGTAGTAGTACAGGGCCGGCGGAAGCAAATAGACATTGGTCAGGTCATTTAGCGATCAATAACAGACTCGTCCGTGGCGGAGCGGAGCTCTAGCGGGCGGTTTCCCCCTGCGTCAAAGGGGGGGGTTTGGGGGTCCTCGCCAATAGATTAAAAAAAATTTAAGACACCAAGATGCCTTTTTTAGTAGCTTAAAAATTACTTTTCAAAACTCTAACAAATATATATTATATACTTCAGTATAGCCTAATTATTTCGGCATCTGCCGATTTACATGTCAATATTTAAATGCGTGTGCACGTAGGCCTACACGTCGCGCGCATGCGTGCCATGCGTGTGCAGGTATACGTGCTGTGCGCATGAGGGTCTTGGTGTCGTACGGCTGTGTACAGGCACGTGCGTGCGTGCATGCTGTGCACGTAGACGTGCGGTGCGTGCGTTGTGCACGTACACCTGCGCGTAACAGTGCGATGCGTTTGGCGGGTGCGTTTCGTATGTAAACGTGCTCGCGTCGGTTCGTGTTGTAAACGTGCGGTGTGTGCGTGCGTCGTGCACGTATACGTGCGTGCGTGCGTGCATGTGCTGGCGTTGTGCACGTAACACATGCGGCGCTGTGCGTGCGTGTGCAAGTTACAGCGTGCGGCTCGCCGTCTGTACGACGCTATACCGTGCGTTCGTCGGTGGCACCACATCCACCCAAACTCTCACCCGGCCTGATGCACTTAGCACGGTGCGTACTACTGGCGCTGCGTTGCGTGCCGTGCCGTCGGGCACGTACACCGTGCAGCGGCTCCCGGTCCGTGCGTGCCGTTCGTGAACGTACACGTGCCTGCGTGGCGGATGTGTGGAGTGCGCTGCGTCTGTTTCACGTCACACGTGCGGCGTGCGTGTGCTGTGTTGCAGGTACACGTGTGTGCGTGTCGGCGTGTGACACGTACGTGGTGTGCGTGCGTGTGCACGTCACACGTGCGTGCGTGCGTGCGTGCTGTGTTGCAAGGACATTGTGTGTGCGCTGCGTGTGCACTCGTACAACGTTGCGTGCGCAGCGTGGCACTGCAACATCATTACTGCCGTGCGTGCGTTTGGATGTACACGTCGCGCGCGCGTGCGTACCTGCTATGGCACGTACCACATTGCGTCGCGTGCGTGCGTGTTGCATCGGTAGAACGTGCGTTGCGTGCGTGTGAACTGATACACGTGGCGTGCCTGCGTTCAGGCGTGCCCGTGTTCACGATACACGTGGTCGCGTGTGTTGTGCAGTGTACACCGTGCAGTGGTGCAATGCATGTGCACGTAGACGTGGCGTGCCGTTGCGTGGTGGCAGTACACCGTCGCCGTGACCATGCGTGCGTTGCGTGTCGTGTACACGTGCCGTACAATGAGTGTGTCGCGTGGGCGTTTGCACGTACACGTGCGTGTCTGCGGTGCGTTCCGTGCGTGTATACGTACACGTCGTGCGTTGCGGGCGTGTCGCTTTGTATCGAACAATAATCACGCACTGCCTTTGCCTCGCCAACGTTAAACTTGCGCACGTGCGCATCTGACGTCAACTGTTACGGTCGGCGCAGACGGCCTCACACAAATGCCAACATCCGCACAACCACAACTGCCAAATCCCACCAACACAACTGCAACATCCCACAACACAACTGCAAATCCCACAACACAACTGCACAATCCCAAACACAAATGGCAAATCCCACAACACAACGCAAATCCCCACAACACATGCAACGCCACAATTCGCAAATGCAACACGCAAACGCAATGCACAATTGCACAACGCAAATGCAAAAACGCCACAACACAAGCAAAAGCCAGACAACGCAACATGCAAAAGCCGACAACACAAATTGCCAAAATTCCCTTTTCCCCGCGCCCGCCTGTACTGTTTGTAACTGGCGCATTGTATCATGCAGGAGTAGATAATCAGGTATCATTACTTCCATATCATCTACTCCTGATCTGTATACAGCCTGTTAACCCCTCCCCCTCGCACACACGCTATCACGCTCATATGGCCTGTAGAGAAAGCTGGTAGAGAAGGAGGAGGGGGAGAACTGCGTGGAGAAAGAGGAGGGGGAAAGCGGGGGAGCAGGAGGGGCGAGAAAGCTGGGGAGAAGGAGAGGGGGAGAAGGAGAAAAAGTGGTGGAGGAATAGGAGGAGAGAAGCTGGCGTGCGAGGCAGGATGGAGGGGAGAAGGGAGAAGCTTGGTGGCAGGAAGGAGGTAGGGGGAGAAGGGAGAAGCTGGTGGAGCAAGGAGGAGGGGAGAAGCCTGCGTGGAGGAGGAGGAGGCGGAGGAGCTGGTGGAATGAAGGAGAAGGGAGAAGCTGGTGAAGAGCGGCGGAGAGAGAAGGCTTCGACGTAGAGAAAGCAAGGGCAGGCCCGGGGAGCAGGGAAAGAAGCTCGGTAGAGAAGGAGGAGGGAGAACTTGGTGAGACAGGAGAGGGGCAGAAGCTCACGGTGTGAGCAAGGAGAAGGTGGAGAAGGGGAGACGCTGGTGGAGGAGTGGAGCGAGCGGAAGAAGCTGGTTGGAGGCAGGAGGAGGGCGGAAGCTGGTGGAGCGAGGAGGAGGGGAGGAAGGGACGAAGCTGTAGAAGAAAGGATGGAGGGGGAGAAGAGAGAAGCTGGGGAGGAGGAGGAGGGGGAGAAGGAGAAGCTGGTAGCAAGGAGGAGGGGAGAAGGAGAAGCTGCCGCTAGAGAAGGAGAGGGGCGGAGAAGCTTGGTGGAGGAGGGCGGGGAGCGCTGCTGGGTGGGAAAGGAGAGCGGAGAAGCTGGTGAAGAGGGGAGAAGCGGGTTAGAGAAAGAAGAGCAGGGGAGAATGGAGAAGGCTGTAGAGATCTCAT